ATTTTCTCGAAAATAAATCGATATTCAGCCAAACGAAGTATGCAGTGCTTTGTTTCACCATAAGGCCTACCTAACTTGAGAATATGAGCCGAATCGATTTTTGGGCTGTTGCCACCATATTTTGAAAATGTTCGATTTTTGGCCACATTTGCTCTTAATCACCAAGTACAGTTGACGAGAACCGATATTCTTAAATTACTATTTTACCCTCACTATCCTTCGTTCAAAACTAGGCACTGGAGAAACTGACCTTGAGACGACGAGACAGAGACAGAAAACAAAAGGCATAACGGTAAAAGAGGACTGATCCAACCATTCATGGCGCAGGTTGAATTCTGAGACCGACTTCCTGTGAGATGAGCGAGCTGATCTGTAAACATTTAGGATTTTTCCCTTTTTGATTAAAACTTTCTGTTTCTCTCCCAACCAATAAAACGTGAAGGACAATCTGTTGTTTTCTTTCTTGCAGGCTATACATTGTTAGAGCGCCAACAAAACGGGGTTTTTGCCTTATTTTTGAAGTATACAATTCAATGAGGGAAAATAGATTAATTCAAAACACTTTGCCAATCATCCAGAGAAGTTAATTAATAATAAATAACATCTGCCTAATAGCAGCCACAAAGCTGAAAATCAATTTCCCGAAGTTTAGCAGCACAGAAGAAAAATATACTCCCTCCAACAATTCACAGGCATTACGTAATAGGTACGGCCATGAGAGACTTATTTCTCTTCATTCCCGTTCAGAAATGAATAACGGCAAAATTAGCCTCACGACGAGACAGAGGCTGACAACATTAGGTGGAAAAACAACAAAACACCGATAAAATTCGAATTTTTCCCGACGCGCATCGGTGACTGAATAACCGAACGATATAAGAGCTGTTGTGAAAAATCTGTATTATAATTTTTCCATTTGACTAAAACTCCCTGGCTCTCTTTAAGCCGATGAAACTTAGGATTGGACCGTTTTATTTCTTCTAAACATGTTATCTTTTCTCTAAATATGACTTATTTTGTGATAGATAAACATTTTCCTTAAACCACTGGACGTCACTAAGTCTTACAAATTGTTGTACGAAATAACATATCTTAAATTTTAACTAAACAGAGATGATGTCTTTTTTCCCTGTAAAACTTTTTAATTTTTTTATTGAATTCTAAGGACCAAATTCTATGTATATATATTCAATGCGAGTTTGTAGTCTTATATTTGCAAATACTGGGTGAAGTCCGGTTGCTGTCATTGGTTTTTGATCGTTTTCTTCTGTTTTTATAAGGAAAGCGTACCCATGACATGATTAGATAAGTTACAGCCCGTTCTAAATTACATACAGATTTTTGTCGTTGAGAAAGTGAGTGGTTTGCATTGAGGGTGCGTGAAATGTTCTAATTTTATCGATAAATCATTGACTTGTTGATCACAAGAAAAGTCTGGTATGAATTAATAATCCTCTTGGAGAAGCTCATAGTATATGAGATTCACTTCCCATGGAGTTTCTTAATAATTATTGGGCCAACGTCACGAAAATGTTTTTGACCATTTTTCTCTACATCCGCATTATCATTATGCAATATTTGACTTACGGTAGAAAGTTCTGAATGTTAAATACAGGTTATAGTATGACCAGTTCCTCCTTTTTGGTGAGGTCCGTCACGTGAGTTAAAAAAGAAAATCTGCGAAAAAAGAAATTGACGTTAGTGCATCGCGGGGAGCTCTCGGATTGAAGTCCACGCGCCGCAGGAGCTCCATGGGTGAGGTGCCCGAAAAATATGGACTACGGAATAAGCCCAAGAGTTTGACCTTGCATAGCTGAGTTTTTTTAAAGGTGTCGAATTCAAATCATAATAGGCCGTGACTTAGAATAAGGTGTGAAAGGACTGCCCGCAGCTGTATAAGGGGAAATTAGCACTTTCCCTACGGCCGCAATAACTTTTGATTTGAGAAAATTATTCAATATAATACTTGCGTGGATGGCAATAATACTTTAGAAACTACTAACCAGTGAAGTGGTGGTAGGATATTAAAAGCAATGGTTACTTGAGCTTCCGTAGCTTCCTCAACTAACCCTAATAAAGCTTGGGTTAGGGCTTTAATAGTGTCTAGTTTCGCTAACACTACGATTTGAAGAAACAAAACAAAACATATTTGGACAGAGCATATTAGGATGGAATTAAAAATAGAAGATCTAGACATTACTCATTCTAGATGCATAAGCGTTTCTGTTTTACATGTAGCTACGATCTTCGAAACAGACAGCTTTCTTCTAACATTTTGGTGTTTGTATTTGAGAGGTTGGCTATTAACGAAACGTCAATTCTTTAATAAAGCTGGCTTTTAAATGTAAAACTTGGAGATAAAACTTGGGAAAGGAACGTGATCAGTTCAATTACTTTGTAATCCTTTAGCTACATCTACAGGTATCCAATACATGTTTTGTTTCGACCCTTTGGCTTTAATGTCTTTGTCTCCAAGATATCCATTATGTTTTGCTCTGTTACCACATGTGTTGTGTTCACCGCTTCACTTTACCGCACCAAACCCAATCCTTGAATCACAACAATCCCTGGCCACCACTCCCTGCCAGGGACTACTGCTGATACAGATTGTTTGGCAACCACCACCAGTAGGAAATGGTACAATAATTCGTGGAAACCACGGATGGCCACATGCCTTCTCTTTCAAGGGTTTATTTCGTTTGTTTTGTTTTTTAGGTGCAATTCCTTGGCTGGTTAGGGGCTATGATTATTGTTTTGGTTTTAGTTTTATGTTATGATTACTGTTTTAGCATAGTTTTTATTTTTTCGTTTAAGACCTTCGAATATTGTTTTGGTTAATTTTACGGAGCTATGACTATTGTTTTGCTTTTAGTTTTATCTTGTGATTACTGTTTTCCTTTTTATTTTTTTCTCGGTGCCTTCCCTTGGCTGGTTAGGGCTATAATTATTGTTTTAGTTTGTTTTACTGGGCTATGACTATTGTTTTGTTCTTATTTTTATGTTATGATTATTTTTTTTT